TCGGCTTGTGGTTCGAGCACATCTCGTGATTCTTATGAGTACGACCTCTGGAGGGAGGATGTCGGCAAAAAGAAGAAGGGAAGGGTCTATGGGTTATGGTCCTAGGCGCTGGTTGATCCCGACTGTTTATATACAACAGTATAACAAAGATTTTAATTATAATTTTCATTAATATTTCTTTACTTTGCAACAGAACCAAAAACTTGATACTGAAGGAAAATAAGAATTTAAGAAAATAAGAATTTAACTCTTTAATTTATATATATTGAGATACTACGCAAGTATACGTATCGTTATTAAGTAATATATGACTTTTTTTATTAAGACACGAATATTGAACCCACAGGGAAATTATGCAATATACACTATTGAATAACAAACTTTCTATTTAAAAAGATAATTACTTAAACTATAGATATTTTCACAGTATTAAAATTCAAATCTTTTTGGTATTTTTGATATTTTGACAAAACAACAACAACTAAATAAGATAACTTGAGTTTATGTAAAAGAAAATTACTTGATATGAAAACACTTTTCTCCTTATCAGGAATCAGTAATAAATATAAGAATTCTGTTGTGAAAGTATGTTAATTGTGTTATGCCAAATTGGAGCAATTATATTCTTTACCATTATTAGAGATGCTATAAAGAACATTGGCTAATTTAAAGTTTGAATAGTTCTGAAGACCAGCTAGGTAGAGAATATACCAGCTCTCACTCTAGAGTTCCCTCGATTCCCTCCACCTGAGGGCTAACATCTCGTATCAGAACCTAAAACAATAAACCAAGTTGGTGGCTTTAACCTGTCACTTTAAAATCCTCTCACTCTACACCCTTCAAAGATTATTTCCCTATTTATTTGCATTAAATCATATGAATTACATTCTCATTCATACAACCTCATATGATTCTTTCCAATTGTTGACTGAGACAATACAATCCCGGTTTTTACATGTTCTCACAACAAATTTTAACATCTGAATAGGCCAAATAAAGAAGTAAATGAAGTGCATGGAATTAAATCATCACAACTTCTTCAAACGTTAAAGATTAATACTCTCCACAACTTCAATCCAAACTTTATTTACATATCATTTTAAGGAGAAAGATTAAGAAAACTACTCAGAATCCATGTAGAAAATAAAACCACACTTTAATTTAAAAGTAGAAAAAAAGTAGAAACCAACAAGAAATCTCAATTAAAACCAAAAATAGTTTAAAAACAAAAGACAAAAACTTATCTCAAATCCTCCTCCAAACAAAAACTTATCTCAAAACTTATCTCAAATCCTCCTCCAAACTCTTGAAGCTCTTTTGAATCTATAAATAAACCAAAAACAAAAAGGATAAGTAAATTTGTGTGGTGCTTGAAAATCTCTCCAAAACTATCTCTCAAAACTCCTCATGACTCCTCTTCAAACTCTTTTCAGAACTTTCAAGCACCCACTTCAAAGGTCTTAACTTCCTTCTTTTATAAATTTCCCAGGAGGTGCCTTGAAAATTCTTCAAAATGTGCCCAAATTCGATGTATTCTCCAAGGGATGCCTCCTTTCACAAGTCTTTTAATAATATTTTTGTTCCCAGTGGTCATAACCGCCCTCTTTAGCCGCCCTCTTTAGCCAATAAGTGCCTAGCCAATAAGTGCCTCAAATGTATCTTCAAAATTCGGCCAAATGAAGAAAACCGCCAATTGAAAACAATTTAATAACTGTCCCTGACACTTAAGCGCGGGGTCTCTGACTCTTAGGCGTGACCTTCTCTGTTTCACCGGCGCTTAAGCGCCAGACCTTGCACTTAGGCGCCAAAATATGTTTGCACAAATTTCACTTTTTTTTCTCCAAATTTGATTCTTTTTCACTCCTTTTAACAATTTTCAACTTTTTACTTATACCAGAAAGAAAAACGCACAAATACCTTCCATTAAAGTGCAATATCTCAAAAATATGTATAAAAATGTGTCTAAAAATACTATATATTTTAAGTGTATCACTGACTTATGATGTCTAGCCGGCCTCTAGCACATTTAGTGCATCCACTTCCACTTCACAGAAGGAGGAGCTGACACCAGGTTGCTGTTGAGGTTAATACCCATGTAGCAGCTCTGAGATTGGAGATGAGGGTAGAGATCAAAGTGCAGTTGTGTTCAGAACTGTAGAAAGGGAAGGAGCCAATGTAGAATGAGGGTGGGGATGATGATGATGAGAAGAGGACACAAGATGATGAGGAGGATGAGTAGGAGGTTACTTTTGTGTGGTTGTGTATTTAAAAATTTACTGTTAATGAATATTAGTTTTATTATGCAATTGTACATTTTCTTTATTTTAATTTAATTGTTTTTCTTTTATTTACCTATATGATTTATGCATTAAATATTTTTGTTACAGTGCTATTCTGAGTTTTGATTAATCTGTTATAATTGCAGGTGTGCAGATTATAACGTTGAAATAGGGTTTTATATTTTTTTTCTGTTAGCATAGGCTTTCAATGACTTATGAATGATTTTATGATAGATTTATCGAACAAGTGAAGATTTTCCTATAGTCTATTGAACAAGTGACGCCTAGGCAAAGTGTTGCACTTTTGTTACAGACAAAACAATTAGTAAATTCTCATAGTTAACCGATGGTACAACGACAATTTACCGACAGAACAACAACACTTTTTTTATGGAACGACACACATTTTCTATGGACATTTTAGTCGATTAGATAACTGACGGTAAAACTACTGTTAAACATGACATGTTTTTGAATCTATGGATACTATTATGGTACATCGGTTAACCTTTGGTTAATGTAAACCGCATTAAATCGGCCTGTAATTTTATTACTGACAAGAGTTTTTGCTACGTCAACTTTGTCGTAACTAAACTGTCGCTAAATATATTATTTACAGTTTATTCGTTATTATCGACGATATTTGACCATCGATAATAAACTAAATTCATGTAGTGCGAAGGCATGAAGGGAAGGGTTTATGGATTGAGTTCTCACGCACAAACCTAAACACTCATCACTCCTCAAGCGCATTTAGCACAACCGCTTCTACCTCATAGAAGAAAAAGGTTCGTAGGCATATGGTCGAATTCACTATAGACATTGCGACCCGAATTGCGGCCCAAAACGCTCAGATGAAGTCATATTTGGAGGGAAAATAAAAATATAATTAGATGCGTTATGACGTCTGAAGGACCTAAGAGGAAAAGGGCTGTAGAGGATGATTCTAAGAAGGAAGAAGATTATGATTGTTTTTATTTATATTTGTTTTCTAAAAATTGCAAACATGTTAATTTATGACGGATAGTTTAAATATTTGTTTGAATGCCTGGAGTTTAATTCTGTGTTTAACTTGTGCGTTAATTCATGTAATTTTTGTTTAATAACTGCTTGAATTGGTAAATTAGATTGTATGATTTATAGTTAGATTTGATCTGTGTTATGATTGCACATGTGAAAACTAAAGAAGACTTTATCTTTTTTTTGCATGCTTCAGTTTTTAGACAGCTTTCTAACCGTTCTTCGACGGATTTTCACTATTTTACTTGTGTGATTCCATGGTTATAGTCTTATAGACAATTAGTTAATGGACCGATGACTAACTGATGGTCCCACGATGCTCTATTGATCCATCAATGGTATTTGTTATAGGTTACTCAACCTACAAACTAATCTGAAAGCAACCGGCAAAATTTTTATTTTTTTGCATTAACCGACGACCTCTAGTTGTCGATTTATTACCCGACAATCAACCGATTTGTTAGCGCTGGCGTGGAGCCCGGTCCACCCAACCCCGACTCCTGCTCCTGCTCTCTCTGTCGCGACCCGATCGCGACTATTCGCGATCCTGATTCGCGAAGTCACACCTTCATTCGCGAAACTGTTCCCTCGAACCGTTCCCGCCTTTCTCTTGACGTGAAACGAAGCATCCATTTGTTCCTTCTTGTTGGTGATAAAAGACTTCGGATAGCTCTCCTTCAGAATGTGAAGTCACGGTGTTCTTCTTCAGTTTTTCTCGGGATAGAGGAGGATTTCCTCAGGGCAGAGGAAGATAAGTGCAAGAGGTAATTCCTTGCGGTGAAGGAAGAAGAAAGAAGAAGAAGATTGTTCTCCTTTGGCTTCTTCTTGGTGGCTTGTGACAGAAGAGATTAGGTTTATTTCTCTTGTAAGTTTGTCTTCTTCAGTGTATCTCGGTGCAGAGTTTCTTCGGTGTATCTTGGTGTAGAAAGAGAAGAACAGTGAGAGAAGAAGAGGGAGAGCAACGAAGTGGAAGTGAGAGATTTCTCTTGTAAGTCGAGGTGATCAACTTGTGTAAATTTCTCAAGTAATAAAATCCTCTGCAACTCCGTGGACGTAGGCAATTTGCCGAACCAAGTAAATCTGTGTTCTTTTCTGGTGTGATTTGTCTCATTCTATTTTTCGCTTCGTCGATCGTTCTCCTGTTTGACTTTATTTTATGTACTACCATAAGTGGTATAGATTTCACAACAACACGGTTGATAACCAACTAGAATGTTTTTTATATTAACCGACAGCTTCGGACTGTTGTTTAGATAAGTGATGGTTAATTGAATGTTTATAAAAAATTATGCTTTTAGCATAAACTTACGGTTACTACCCATTGGTATGCTGTCAACTTATACAGATTACCCGCAAGCGAATTAGCTGCATCCTATAAACCATCGAAAGCTATCAATTTTTGGTTTTCTAATATTTACCAAATACATCTGACTGACTGAAATAGTTTAAATTCATGTAGTGTATTCATAGCATATAAATCATTTTTTAGCACTAAAACATATAAAATTAAATCAAGCCAAGTTAAATAAAAATTAAAACCAAATCATTAGTTCATAGTTAATCATTCTAAACAGAATCAAACAAAAAATTGAAATGCCTGGTCATTTAATAAAATCAGGTTATTTAATATCATCACAATCAATAGAATATTTAATGCTTTCCATAACAAAAAGTCCACATAAAAACTAAAATAATTAAATTTAAATGTTTGAAAAGCTAGCTCAAAATATGCAGTGGCATGCAGCTAAATACACAGAGGAAGGGATGCATACAACATACATTATTGAGAATCATATTACTGTTTTCATCCACCCTCTCTTCTCTCTCAGTAGTTCTCTCCATTCAGCATTGAACCCTAAAGAGACAAAAGAAGCACTGCAAACCACCCAAAAGCGCCCAAACATATCTGCAAGATCCAAGCAATTAATAAAGGATCTCTTAAGTACTCCTCCCACAGATCTGTATTCATTCAAAAACTCAGCACACATTAAAGTTTCCTCCTAACTACAAACTTTTGTACACAACCCAAAATTAAATTTTTTTTAAAAAATAAAATAAAAACAAACCATTACAGCTGAACACCACCACTTTCTCTTCCACTCCTACCAAAACCCAAAAAAAAAAAAAAAAAACTTAGAATTTGCAAAATTAACAAACAATTTCAGTTCTTGCCCTCTGAAGATACAGATCAGTGAGAGTCAAATCTGTTCACCCTTCTTCAGTAACCCATCATGACCTCAAAATCCCAAAAAAAAAAAAAGGTAAGAAAATAAATAAAAATAAAATAAAAGAAGAAAAAACTTCTCCTCTGGTCAACTACAAAGTCCTCTTCACAAGAAGAACAGTAAGAAGAAGAACAAGAAGAAGTTCCATTAAATTTCTTCCATCTACGTACTGCATGCATGCAACCAGACCTTCAGTATTCCAGATGATCTATCTCTACATCCTCCTCACTTGCTCTCCCTCCATTTCCCTTCACTTCCTACACACAAAAAACCACCAATTAGTCCCACTTCAAGAATCTAAAAAAAAAAATTACAAAAACCATTGCCTTAAGCTTATAATGACATTTATACAATGTTCATTCTTGTCATGCCCATTAAGAAAAAATAAATAGAATATACGTCATATATGTAAGAAAAAAGAATGCTGCAATTATATAAACAAAAACCCTTTTTATTTCTTGGCTCATCAGTAAAACTTAATTAGGAGCTTTCTGATAAAAGATAATATTTAAATTATTAAGATTGAATAAATCCCGTAAATTCGAATTTACTAAATCCTGAATGATTTAGGTCAAAAAATTATTTGATAACTAATTTATTAAATCTTATAAATTCAAATTGACAAGTATAACAAATTGAATAGCTCTTCCTCCATCTGTTAATTCATTGGATTCAAGGGATTTAGTGAATCCGGGATTTAAATTAAAATCCAAAAAATTCAGATTTATGAAATCCACAACTTTGCCAAGATCTAACCTTTACCAAGGTTAAATCCTGCTACATATCCGTTTACAGTGCCGGTTAATATCAAACTAAAAATTGAAACTTTACCATGATAAGAGCAATAATTATGTTAAAAATCTGATTTTTTTGGTTAAAATATATTGATTTATAATCTACTTCACCCACTCCGATCACCTGTGCAAACTTCGTCGGCGCTCCGGCGGCCGGAGATCGTTGATCAGCCTTATCGGTCTTCCTACCCGACGAACCGCAGTAAGCCCTTCTGAAACCCAAAAACTCTTTCCACCTCGGCGACCCCTTCGGCGGCCGACTCCAGTCCTCACCTTCGCCGCGTAGCTCATCGCGGAGAGTTGTAAGCCTTCCCGCCGCCGCTCCTTGCGGCGGACAAGTGTCGCGCAGAGGAAGCATTCGCCCTTTAAAAAATAACTCGTCGGCGGCGATCATAGGCCGGCCGCCAACAGCGAACTCAAAGTTGGGATCGGGCTGAGCGGAGCTCTTTTGCGACGGAGCTGGCGGCGGCTCGACGGCGAAGTCGTTGGAGAAGGAGATGCGAGGGCTGATTGGCGGGGGGGCTCCGCAGAAACCGGAGGCTTGGTGGTCGTTGAACATGTTGATGCATGCCATGGGGAAGGGAGAGTGCGGTGTGGTGGGTGGGAGTATATGTGGGAGGGTATAGGAATAGGGTGTGCTGTTGTGTGCTTTCGGCGTGACCTCCAATGCTTTAGGGATTATAGGATGGAGTATTTATATATGGGAGGAGAAAGGGGATGGGATGGTAGTTGATTACGGTCATGTATGTCATGTTGTGTCATGGATGACTTGATCATGTATATTGGGGGAGATGATCTACATTCCCATGTCCATGATTATGTTATTTATCATTTTGATGGCTTTTGAATTTTTTGTATGATCTATGAGGCTATGATCATAACTTGAGAACATAGTTTTGTTGACAAAATTTTATTTTGTTTTTTATCTTTTTCATAAATAGTTTCACAATTTAAGATGTTGGTACTTAAAAATTGGTAAAATGTACCTAGATTAGAAAAGTATATATGAATTTAGCAAAATTGTGAGAGACTTGTTTTCAAAAGTTATTTGTATAAAAACTTTTTTATGATTTATACTTTGATACTTTGTTAAAAATAAAATTTAAAACATACATTGCATATCTTTTATTTCATTATTTTTAAAATAGGTATTTAAAAATTTTAAGAAAATCATAATTAATTATCTTTCAAAAGCATCCTCCCATCATTAACAATTGTCCTAAAAAAATTTCCCACCCATTAGGTCAAATATTATACTCAACTTGAATGCATAAACTATTATGATACTATCTCTTTTATGACTAATTTTTTTATTGTTTGCCTTTTCTCTTAATTGTCGTGATTAAACGCATGAACATATAATAATTTGATATTAATATCGTTTTTCTATATGGAGATGTGTTTGGTGAGAGAATAGCTTCCAAAGAAAAATTAATATTAGGAGACTAATCGTGAATTATAGATGACTAGATCTTTCGAGCTTCTTGAAAAAATGAGGGACACTTCCTTAATGAAGTTATTAATAGAAATTAAGGTTTCATCAGTAGTGATTGATAAATAATATTTATTAGCACGCAATAAAAAAAATGCATGATTGTCTTGAAACTTATATTTAAATTTTTATGCTGAGAAACTTCTTAAATATCATGAAGAAAATAAGATTTAGTTTGATTAATGAGCTTATGTTTTATTTTTAGGAGAAAGTATGGTAATTAATGAAGATGAGAATAGAAATGCCTCTATATTGACCTAACAAGTGGATTGAAAACAAATTGACATGAAGGATCCTCTTAAGAACTATTAATCATAGATTTCACAGTTGAGCATTATCTTTGATAAATTTTCTATAAATTTGAATTTTACACTCAAGCAATAGGCAATTAGAGTAAAACCTTGGACTCTTCTTAAACATTACTTCGCATCAAAACTGTCTTTTTTTTTAGATCCAATCATAAGGTTGTTCAAATGAATTAAGGATGTTTCAATTTTTTATTCACGTAGACACATAATTTTAAATTTTGTTATTAAATAATTGAATTCATTATAGAATAATATTTCTATCTTTCGAAGAAATGATATTTGATCACCAAAACAAAATTTTTAAAACTTGGATGATTATTGATCAACCAACTTTTTCATTATTAAGGTAATGATGTCAAAAGGCTTATGCTTTCTTGTATCCAGTTCTCTTACATTAGTTGAATATGCTAACTTTTACTTAGCCAAGTTTTCAATTATTTGTCGCTCCTATGCTGGTTATTTGGTTTCAATCATTAGTTATTCTTTCTTGTTTTGTATAGCAGTATAATGTTGTTGTCTTGCTGCACCTACTTTTGAGTAACAAGGGTTAAATTATCATCTCTTAAATCTTGATATTAACCATCTACAACTATTTCCAATTTATTATGTTAATCTAGCTACTATTCTTGTCACTAAATATCCAGCCTTCAATAAAAATACAAAATGTATTAAAATTGTCTTTCCTTTTATCTGAGAAAGGATCTAAGTAGGGTTTCTTACTCTTTTTTATCTATGTATGATATAGCAACCATTTGGCAAGATATTTTTATCAAATCTATTGGTGCTTGATTCACATTGTCAGACTTCTTTGCAAGTTCAATATTTTGTATAATTTAGTCCAAACTCTAACTTTAGAGAGAGCATTGAGCAAAACTCAAGAAGGATGAATTTAAACTACGGGGAAAAGCGCAAAAACCGATGGTAAAACCAATGGTCTAAACTTACGTCGATAAAATTTCCTATTTTCCTACGATTTAGCGACAGTTTATGTGATGAGTTAATTCTGATGGCATAATAAGATGACATGTCATTGTTTTTTAACAGTAAATTGTTTTTGATAGTTTTTATTATTACTAACGCATTTTACCGTCGATTATAAGTAAATAATAACCGACGGCCTTATGTTATTGGTTATTTACGAATCCACTATTTGTCAGAGTGTTAACCGACTAGTTTTTTTAATAAGCAACGGAAAATACAACGTGCCTCGGCCTATTGGTTGGCATCCACGATATGAGACCCCCTAGGCCGAGGGTTCAAATTCCCTTAACACAGTTGGCCTTAAGGAGGTGGTAGGCTAGGTGGTTTAATGTTTTTTATTATATAGGAATAATGTAGGTTTGAATCTTGATATTATTTTCTAATTAATATAAATAGCCAATTTTGAGCTAAACACGAGCCAAACACTAATAAGAATATGTAATCAAGTCGAAGACAAACACACTGTTAAAAAGCAAATTTTGAAGAAGGACCAATTTAAAATGATCTGAACTCAAGCCAAGCATATGTCACTCAAGCTTGGCTCATTTTCAACCTACTCGGGTGTGGCATCAAAGTGTTATTGTGCTCCTTTTCTGGCACTGGAGTGTAATGCACTCAGGTTCAGAAAACTGTACATGGCGCGTCGGCGCTCTCTTCCAAGTGTTGAGGCGTCTTGTGAGAGCACTGCCCTCGAAAGCAAAATTTAGAGTGTTGCAGTGCTGGCTACGTCTATATAAATTTTGTTTGGGTGTCTACATCTGTTTTAGATACATGAATTATTAGGCATGATCACATGTACGAATTAAATTCATTTATTCACATGCCATGTTGAATGAATAATCAAAGATGCAACTCCAAGAAATTAATGTCATGGCAACCATCATAAATATTCAATAATATTGATTGAGAAAATTTCCTTCAAATATAGTAAATTAAATAAATAAATAAATAAATAAAGATTTGCTCTTTGGGTGATTCAATTATCGTTCTCAAATTAATAAAAATGAACTATAGTCATTCTTATGGTAAACTTATGCTGATATTAAATACAATTCCATGATTTCATGCTTCAAGGTCTTTTTTTATTCTTTTGTCATTCATTGGCCAGTTTTACATTTTTTTTTATTTGAAATTATTTTCTATTATCTCTCTCTTTTTCTCTCTCTCTTTTTTTAGAATAATTACATTCATAGCATTTGAAATACTGTTATTTACAAAACTAATACCCATATTTTTTTTTCCAACCGTCAAATCTGTCGTTTACACGTGCCACGATCAAACCAAGATGTGTGTGTGCCGCCTACAATGACTTTTTGGTTGGCAGAATTTTTAAGACCCCTGGGGTCACTTGTTTGATCCCGCCTATTCCAACCGTCAAATCTGTCGTTTACAAGTGCCACGATCAAACCAAGATGTGTGTGTGCCGCCTACAATGACTTTTTGGTTGGCAGAATTTTTAAAACCCCTGGGGTCACTTGTTTGATCCCGTATATCTGCGAGATGAAATTCTTAGGCACATGAAGCTTGTTGGGTGGTTCGTATAATAGTCTCTGACCAATCTTTATATATATATATATATATATATATATATATAAATATGTATGTATGTATGTATATGTATGTATATGTATATATATGTGTATATATGTATATATATGTATATGTCCTGTTTAGATAACAACTTGCAACCGTTTCCTTGAATTAAGAGAAAAAGTGAATGATTTAGGTTTGTAGGGGTCTATAATAAAGCATTGGAATAGAGGGTATTTTGGATTTTATAAGAAATTAATTGACTTGACCAAAAGTATAACATCATATTAGTGACCTTTGTAATGAAATTTAAATGCTACAATAATTCCAAAGTAAGGGACCAAGTTAGATAAATGCCCCTATCTTGGAAAGCGATGCTGGCTTCCTAATAGAGCATTTCAAGGATCTTGCACCAAATAGAAGGACCAACTTACCCAACAATTCCATCCCACATGTTCATTTTTCTTGTCTCTCTTGATGCTTTGTTTTTTCTTTTTAATTTTTAGGCCTTATAATTCGTGCTTGCATACTTGCATACAATGACAACAATACCATAATTCATGCTTACATGGATGAAATATGACATGAATCGTGCTGTGATTTAAGGATATATTATTGACATTGTGTTTGAACCGGAAAATTTTAGGATAGACAACAATAAAATGATAAATAGTTAGCCGCTTATACTCGTGAATATGAAGAATTTAATCGGGATGTGGATGACTTTCATGATAATATAGATGAGAGAAATTATTGTTCAACCTCTACTCACTTGTTCAATGAATCGAAATAAGATGAGTGCTTGTAAGTTTTATCTTTTGTATTGTTTGTTATAATGTATTCTTCATTTTCTTATGTTATTTATTGTTTTTTTTTTTTTTTTGTTATTTTCAGTTTTATATTAGTTATCTACAGCTCCTTTCGGAGAATAAAATAGGTGGTTTCAAGGCATGCTATGCAGATAAACACCACTATGACGAACACCACTTCAACTGCCACATTAGTTCCTATCAGGCATGTTGCCTTATCTCTGATTATGTATGCGTACCACATGCACCTGTGCGTCTCCCACCACACTATGACCTCCATCGACCTTCTTCGAGGCAGGGCCCTCAACTCTTGCCAGTCCTGCTGTGATGGACACCTTACATCAAGCAATTTAGAGATTTGCAAGTAATTTAAATGATAATAACTAAAATTATTTCTCTAGTATATTATAATGCCAATGCATTTTTTTTTTTGTAAATTTTATCCAACCAGGCAGCCGATACACATGATTATGGAGATCATCAAGTGTAGGTATGATGATTTGTCTCTATCATTGAAGAAGATTTCGATCAAGATTGTGATTCACGGATAAGGGGTGGCTGGAG